TCATTATAGAATGTTTATACTGTAGGTAAGCAACCGGCATATAATGCCTGATGGACTGCTGGCGAGTGGACGAACGATGTGGGGCTCGGGATATGGATACCACTCGCAAATATTTCCGCAATCAGCTTTATGTTACAAATAGTTTTGTTAATTATGATTATGAAACAGATATGTTAAGGTTTGAATATTTTAATTAAGAAAGCAATTTCGTATTTTATGTTTATAATAAGACCCTAAAAAAAAAAAAAATGTTCCGTAAATTTTAAGAAATTTCAGTAAGTACAAGTTAAAAAGTTAGTTACAGTGGCGGCCTCAAAGGAGGGGCGCTACAGAAATGAAGAGGACGTGACTTTCTATTGGTCTGAAAAACAAAAACATGCGCTGTTAATCCGACTTGCGGCTTACAATAAGAACAACAGACGCCAACCGGAGCCAGCTGATTGGGAGCAATGGGCCACAGATTTGTCCCCTCTATTTTCCAGTCCGATTCCTCCAGGCCGAGTGAAGGAGGCAAAGGAAAGACTGAAAAAGAAATTCAATGCTGCGCTTGCCCTTCGCACGAACACCGGCCTCGGATGGGATCCCGTACAAAATTGCCCAACATGCACGGACGAATACTGGGATGACTTCTGCAAGGTTTAGTACTTTTTTTATGTACTTCTGCATATGTAGTTGCATAAGATGTTTTCACCCAATTGCTGATTTTCAAGTTGCTGTGTAAACAGATGCACAAATGGGCAAAGCGTACACGTAACGACCCGCTCAAAAATTATGACCTCTACTATGAGGCCTTCGCGAGTACGCATGCACGTGGTGCGTTCGAATCACGGCAGGATGATACCGATGAGGAAGATGAAACCTCACAGCCGCACATAGAGGAAGCGGAGAATGTAGTTGGCGGAACCTCTCAAGCTGGTGAAACTGAGGAAGGTTTTGTTTGAACAATGAGAAGCGCTCTTCATTCGTTGGGACGTTCATTGAATATTGCCTCTTCTTCGCGGCCAATATCGAAGAGACCAAGCAAGAGCGGGGTAAGAATGATGGATCCAGAAGCGAAAATACTTTTAAAGAGTATAGCCAATACTCTTGAAAGGAGCCAGTCTAGCAAAGGCACTAGTTCAGGTGCAACTCAACCTGGGGCTACACAGCCTGGAGAAACGCCGACTTCAACATTTGACCGTTGCTGTGAAGTCATAAGTGAAATGCTACTTGACGACGAACAGGTTGTATCTTTTAGTGAGTATTTGAACTGGAATCCAAATTGTCAGATCTTGTTCTTACGTTTAAAAGAAAGCCAACGCCTGCTCTATGTGTTGAAAACGTTGAAGGCCTTGTCCAATCAACAGGCGCCACCCACTGGACCCACATATAACATGCCCCACGGAACACCATTTATGGGTTCCCAACCATTCCAAACACAATATCAACAACAATTCCCCGGAAATCATCCAGCTTTTCCCCAACAACCCACAAACTTAACTCAACCATCGCCCAACTATCAGCAACCGCCTCACGCTTTTCAACAAGTCCCTCCCAATTTACAACGCCCACCCCAATACTACATGGGTAATCAATACCCCAACTTCCCAGGCCAATTTGGTGGAGAAGGGAATGACGATCACGTGTAACGGCAAGGAACTTATGTGGTTCGAACAATGAGTTATTTTTATGCTTTATGTTTATGTTGTTGACGTTCTTATTCATGAACTCTCATTTATTTGGTTATTAGCGACTTCTGTACTATGTTACATTGTGAGTTTTACATTTATCTTTGCATTTGTGAACAATGTAGAATTGGGCCTACGGCCGCTATCTACCTTTCATTTCCCGTTAATGACATTTGTTTTCACACTATGAGACAGGTTTTACTTTGGAGAATTGTTATTGTTCAATTGTTGTCAAATTATTTGTTGCATATTGGTATTGTAGAGCATATACCACTTTCAGGTACCATGTCGAATGCCGGCCCATCAAACCAAGGAAACACCCACCCCGTGAATGGTGATTCCGACTCTGAAGATGACTTCGTACTTGGTGCTGCCGCAGTGTGGGTATGTTACGACGACTTCTTGGAAAGACCTCTTCCAAGACCAAGAAATAATAGTCATTATACAGGTCATCAACGTCTTGGTGATCTGTTAGATGGGCACGAACTAGTGATCTACAATAAGATAAGAATGAGAACTGATTGCTTCAAGCGGTTGAGTTGGTTACTTGAACAAAAGAATCTGTTAAAGAGTACTAGAAATATGAACGTGGATGAACAACTGATGATTTTCCTCACAATTGTGTGCCAAAGCGAAAGTAATAGGGAGACGCAACATCAGTGGCAGCATTCAGGAGCGACAATCTCAAAGTATTTTATGATTGTACTGAATGCCATATATCGACTACGACATGATTTTATTGTGCCCCCAGACTTTAACACTATCGACCCGTTCATTGAAACTAGTGGGAGCAAGTACAGGCCTTGGTTTGATGTAAGTCAACATAACATTTTACTTGATTATTCTTTCGTTTATGTTACATAACCTTGTTTGGACTAATCTACTTTTACTTTGCAGAACTGTGTTGGTGCACTTGATGGGACACACGTTCCTTGCGTTCCGCCGCCCGACAATCCAGAGGTATGGAGAAATAGGAAGGGATTTATGTCTCAAAATGTTCTGGGTGTATGTTCGTTTGACATGAAGTTTACATACATGCTTGCTGGATGGGAGGGATCTGCACATGACGCCCGCGTGCTTGAATCAGCCCTTGATGGCCGACACAAAAAGTTTCCAACTCCTCCTGAAGGTAAACATCGTTTCTACATTGTTAAGTGGTAAAAAGTTGGAATTTAATTATCTTCACGGATGATTTTGTAGGCAAATTTTATTTGGTAGATTCGGGCTACGCAAACAGAGGTTGTTTCCTAGCACCATACCGTGGTAGTACGTCGGAATTGTATCGAGCGCACATTTGGGGTGTGGAAAGCAAGGTTTCGCATTCTCAAGATTATTAACAACTACCCAATGAAGAAACAGGTAAAAATACCTATTGCTTGTGCGGTCATACATAACTTCATACGCATGTTTCAGCATGATGATAGATTTATGACACAATACTTTCAAGATGGGATTCCGGTAAGTGAAATCGACCCTGAAAATGCGGAACAAGATGTAAATCAAAATCACAACCCAGATCGGGCAACAAACACAGCAACCAATACAGCATCTCCTACGCAGATGCGCCTCATAAGAGTTGAAATGGCAAGTTCGATGTGGCAATCCCAACGCACAAACAACAATCAATAGTAGGCAATTATTTGACAATGTATAATTCGACACATTTGAGGCAATGCTTATTTTCTCTTTTTTTTCATCATTCATTTTTTTTTTCTATGTGACAAGTAATTTATTACTCTATTAATTAATTACATGTACTTCTCATTTGAATATGATATGTTAAAAAACGTGGAATCCTCTTCAATTTAACGGTAGAAGTTTTTTTTTTTCATTCATATCATTTAAAATAAAAGAGAATTGAGATGGTAGTTGGAATTATGAATCTGTGAAATGAACACATCACAGCTCGAATTGTGAGTCAAACTTGAGACTCCAATGCACTCCTAAACACTAACTCCAATTCCAATCACAATTCCAATCATGATTCTAACTCCAATCATAACTTTAACTCAAATTGTAAAAATTTTGATTGGTGAAGTGAACACACCCTAAAAATTCCCTTTTTCATCCTTACACAAGCCCCCATTAAAACTTTTTACTCTTTTAGTTTTTACCTCACTGTGTAACCTCATTAGTCATCAAAAAGGAAGGAAAAAGAGGTTGTGAGAAAAAGACAAATGGGAGGTTGGTAATCGTGGTCAACTCTCAAAATGTAATGGGTTCATAAATTTTGCATCAGGTTACTTGAAATTTGTAAAGCTTTATATAATTCTTTTGTTCTTTTTTTTTTTTTTTCGCTTACTTGGTTTCTTCTTGAATGAAACTTTCGTTCTGTTGTTTATTAAACTAGTGTGTGGGGGAAGTGCCCATGGCAGTTCAATATGTTTTTTAACTTTCCAAGAAGATGTGCTATTGAATAAGGTCTCCAAATAATTATCTAGTACTGGTAGTAGTTTAACTGTTGTAGAAGCTGATCAATTTTTAGTTTTCTGACAAAACAACTACAATTAAAATGAAAACATTATCACTAATACAAATGATATAAGTTTGAAGATAATGACAACTACCTTCTTTAATTAGAATTCTATAACATATCAGAATTCTCGAGGTTCTAAAAGGTGATCAATGCGTTCTTTATATCGAGTATCATCATTTATACTTGTATTTGAACCATATATTAGGTTGCAAAATAACTTAGCATTCTTGTCAGTAGGGTGACATTTGTTATCTTTTAAATTTCCATTTTCTTTGTCAAGCATTGATGATACTAACATTTAGCAGTTTACTTTTGATGATCTTTTAAATTCCATTATTGCCAGTTGTGTTGGAAATGTTAATCACAACGCTGAGGCTGATTTTGTCGTTTGACGCCCTCCTCCTGAGTTGTGTCTTTTCTATTCAAAACGGCCTAATAATACTCATCAGAGGACACGATTAGTAAAGGATATACATTACCATTTCTTTTTTCTTTCTGTTGTAATTTGTGGGAAACATTCCCTGATTGAATAATTATCATTGTTACAGTTGTATTGTTTCTGATCCTTCGCCTATATTCATTTGCTGCATCCACAAATTTTTAAGAGACTCCTTGAATTATAGGCCCAACTGGGTAGTGTTTTTTAAAGAATTTGATTGAGTCCCTTCTATCAATTGCAATGTTTGGAAGAGATTATTGCATCACTCATACATTAATTTTAATTTTTAGCATTCCACAATCTACCTAACAAACACTACCAATCTAAAGATTTATTTCATGTATTGAAACTTTGACAAGAAAGTACTTATTTCATGATCATAATAGGTTTTACAGCTCTGTCATCACACTTCAAGTTCAAGAATAGATACTAGAGAGAAAAAAAATACCAACTCCAGAGATAATTGACCACAGAACTTTATGGGAGTACTGAAGTACTAAAGATAACCCTTTTCTTTACAACATTTAATTGCACCATCAAACATTTCTTCAACCCCATACTTGAATTCGAAACCTGAATCTCGGAGCTTCTTTGATGAGACACTTGGCAGTTTCAAACACTCTATCTTCATTTCAGAACTGCTCAAAAAAAAAAAAAAAACAATAGAAAAGCAATTAGAGGGAGAATAAAAGGGATATTTCGGAAATAATGAAATAATCTAAAAAAAGATGTGGAAGGATAATAGATCTAACTTTTTTCTGCGTGCCTGAAGTTCTGGATACTTGATAGAAAGCAACTCGAACACACTTTTAATTGTTGTGGTAATTGATGAACAAATGTACCTCCCTTTTGCCTCAGGATGTTCAAATAGGAAAATGTGAGCTCTAGCAACATCATCCACGTGCACCATGTCTATGTTTATAGGCTCATCACTGCTATCTGCGTAAATATGAATTTGAAAACGTTAATAATTAAATTAAAAGAATTGGGCCTTTTTTTTTTTTAGTATAGTATTTGGCATTTTCATTTCCTTAACTTTTCGGGATTTGACATGTTGTAAGCTAATAACTTTATGGAATGTTTGTTTCAAGGGTTCATTCCTGGTTCTGAATTATAATTCTTGGTTCTCTACGGTGTTTTTCTCTCACAAAAAGTTTGAATTTCAAAAATCAAAATCATAAATTATGGTTCTGAATCTATAAACTAAACGTCCCATTAGTTTTTTATGAATTTAATAAAGTCAAGTGCTTCTCAATCGGTGACAGCCGTTAAAAATATTGATGAAAATGCCCTCATACACATCATCTGTGCATGTTTGAAGTCGGGTATTGAAATTTTAGATGACAGCGGATCAGCACATCATCGCACATGCATGAAGTCATCTTCTTGATCCAAATTTTAACATCCTTCGTTGGGAACACTGCAACGTTTTTTATTACATTCAATAAATAATTTGCTAAAACTAATTAAGAATTAGAGGACAACTTGTTGATTTACAAAAGTGTCAAAAACCTACAAATTTATGTCGCTCTAGAAACTAAATTATCAAAAGTTCAAGGCTATCAAGAGCTTTCCAAACCAGAATTTTGTGATCTAAGAAACACATCCAAAATAAACAGTGCCGTCAAGAAGCAATACATACCTAAGAGTATTTGAATAGAGCTGGGAAGCTTTGGACAGATGAAGGGACCAACAACATAAGTAGGAATCAATGTGACAACTTCCAATCCTTGTTTCTCCGAAAATTCGAGGACTGCCCTTTCAGTTAAGGCCTTGGAAATCGCGTACGAACTTAAAGGCCAATTTAGAGTCCTTATATAATCTGTGTCACTCCAAAAGCTCTCATCCATTTTCTCTAAATTCTTTCCATTAATGAATACAGCACTAGAACTAGAAGTGTACACAACTTTTTTCACCGTTTTGGAATCTAGGCATGCCTTTAAGATTCCTATTGCTCCATCTACCGATCTTTTGGTCACTATTTCCTCTGCTTCTTTGTTCACGAAATCAACCGGAGTGGCGACATGGAAGACCCCGACGCACCCTTCGATGGCAGCGCCAAAACTTTCCGGATCATCAAGATCCGCATAGAAGATTTTCAGCTTTTCTGCTGCTCCTGGCACACTTTTAAGAAAGCTGGGGTCTTCATTATGCTCTGCACAGTTTCAATGCCAATCTTCCAACTGCATATAACTCTATTATCTAGATCTAAATTTAAAAAGCCTTGCTTGTTTAGATTTTTTTTTTTCCCTGGCTAAACTCCTAAAGAAGCATGTCTGGATTTATTTGCAATTCGTCAAAAGCATGCTTCTTCACAGGTTCAGGGATTTTTCTTCTTTCTGAGTAAACAGACTAATATTTTTCTAGTCAAAAGTTACTCACCTGGGTTAGATCTGACGGTGGTTCTGACTGAGTAACCATGATCAAGAAGTCTCATTATCAGCCAAGATGCTATGTATCCAGCGCCACCAGTTACGCATACTGCACCTTTCTCTCCTTCCATCAATGGCAGTTTCCAATAATATTGAATTATATGCCTTAATGAGGTTAAACAGTTTTCTCAAAATGTCTTTATAGGTCTTCCTTTTTTAGATTCCTTAGGCTTTGAGTCAAAAGGTCAAATAACTATAACAACAACAACAATAACGACAACAATGATGACAATCGTTGGCCTTTTTTTTTTTTTATTGAAGTCAGTTTTTGGACTTTGCCAGTTAAATCCGGGCCATAGCAACAATATTTATAAATTAATAACAAATAACGCCATTTTAATTTAGTGGATTATTTTTTGTATAAATTGAGTTGCCTAGTGAAAGAGAGAGAGAAAGAGAAAGAGAGAGAGAGAGAGAGAGAGAGAGAGAGTTGTATAAATTGAGTTGCCTAGTGAGAGAGAGAGAGACTTGTCTAATTAGAATAAATTGAAATTTTCTTATAGCAGTTATCATTTCTTTGCATTAACCTAAAAAAATAATAATAGTGTCGTAATTTTCTTTTAACTCTTGCGATGATTCCATGTGTTGAGTTCGGTAATTTAACACCTTTTTTTTTCTGTTCCTTCTTAGTTTGACAGCTAAGGCCTAATATGACAACTTATGTTGGCTGCCTTTTCCTTGTCCCAAAACTGAAGTTTTTCCATTAAAAAAAAAAAAAAAAAAACTGAAGTTCGTAATTGTTCAGATTAGTTCCAAATTAAAAAGGCGCAAAGAAAATCATTTACAGCATGTTGAATTTCAACAGCATTTCACTAGAGAAATTTTTTTTTTTTTAGGATTTTAGAACGCTAGTTGATTTCTGGCGGTTGGTATGAGTTTTGATAATTCGATATGAAGTTTGTGTTGCGGTACTCTTGTTAAATCTCTCTTTTGTCTTGCTTAATTTTTGAAAATGCCAGTCAGTACTAGAATTTAATTATTTATTCTTTTTTTGGTAAGGATGAAAGATCTAACATATATCAAACTCTTAAATAAAGAAAAGATTTAACATAAACGGCATTTAATCTTGATCATTGCAGGAAATCACTGACCAAATTACCCTTTTTCATCAACATCACCATAATTTTTTATTTATCATTTTTACGTTGACATGACAAAATTTGCTTGAGTAAATATCTAATAAAGTGAAATTAACAAAACGACATTTTTAATTTTTATAAAGAACGACTACCTAGACATTCTTTATAAAAAGTTATCCTTCTTGATAAGTCATTTTTACAAAGAGCTCTAATGACATTTAATTGCGTCGTCAATGAAGCACACTACAAATAACCTTTTTCTATACAACATTTAATTGCATCATCAAACATTTCTTCAACCCCATACTTGAACTCGAAACCTAAAGCTAGGAGCTTCTTTGATGAGAGACATGGCTGTTTCGGGCCTTCCATGTTAAATAGAGAACTGCACAAAAGGATCACTCAATTAGAGGAGAATATATTCCAAAGGAATACCCTAAAAAATGAGAATACCTGGGAAGATCCGTAAATAATTAAACGGGAAAGGATAATTGAACTAACCCTTTATTTGGTATCTGAAGTTTTGGGCATTTGGTAGAGAGCAACTCAAATGTATTACCAACTGTTGTGTGATTTGATGAACAATTATACCTCCCTTTTGCCTCGGGATGTTCAAATATGAAAATATGGGCTCTAGCGACATCATCCACGTGCACAAGATCTAAGCAGCTCATAGAACTAGATTGATTCTTCTCACCTGCATAAATATCAATAAAAAATTAAAGAACAATGTTATAGAGCATCGATACGTTTTGCACTATCCATTCACTAATAAAGGATGAGTCCTGTGGCAAGAAGTCCACACGTAGAATTCATCTTCTATTAGTGATGATGTTTAATAACTGTGGTGTCTTGAAACGTGTTTTATCTAAAATGGGTTTTTAGAGAAATAACTAGTTTCATAACTTTTGTTATGTTTTAGCCAGCTAATTAGTTCGAGAATGTTTCCAAAAAAAAAAAAAAAGTATTACATACCAAAAATTATATTGAATACAGAAAAAACAGAGCCAGGGGGCTTAGGACAAATGAAAGGGCCAACTACGAAAGGAGGAATCAACGTGACAACTTCCAATAAATCATGTTTTTCCGAAAATTCAAGGACCGCCTTTTCAGTTAAGGTCTTAGAGACCATGTAGGAAGCTGCATTTGACTTGAGAGATTTGACATAATCAATATCACTCCAAAAAGTCTCATCCATTTCATCAAAATCCTTCCCATTCAATATAACAGCAGAGGAACTGGAAGTGTACACAACTTTCTTCACTGTGTTGGAATCTACGCATGCCTTTAAGATCCCTATTGCTCCATCTATTGATCTTTTGGTCACGATTTCCTCTTCTTCTTTGTTCTCGAAATCAATCGGAGTGGCGACATGGAAGACCCCGACGCACCCTTCGACGGCGATGACAAAGCTTTCTGGATCATCGAGATCTGCCTCAATGATTTTGAGCTTTTCTGATGCTCCTGATAAACTAGTGAGGAAGCTAAGGTCTTTTTTATGCCCTGCCACAATTTCAATGCCAACGTTTCAGCTGATATCTTTTTTAGATTATTTCTTTTTTCCTGCCTAAATCAATTTCTAAAGAAACAAGGAAAATAATTGATAGAGAACCAACAAAGAATGAAATATGAATATTATAGAAAGGGCGTGAAAGAAAGAATCAAGAGAAGGAAAATTTCAATAATGGGTAAAATATCAAATTCAATCAATTTCTTCTCTAAATCTACATAATCCGACCTATTGATATAAATGGAAATCCAAAAGGAAAAAAAAAAATTTTAATTCAATCAATTTCTTCTCTAAATCTACATAATCCGACCTATTGATATAAATGGAAATCCAAAAGGAAAAAAAAATTAAATTCAATCAATTTCTTCTCTAAATCTACATAATCCGACCTATTGATATAAATGGAAATCCTAAAAGGGAAAAAAACAATTTTAATTCAATCAATTTCTTCTCTAAATCTACATAATCCGACCTATTGATATAAATGGAAATCCTAAAAAAAAAAATACCATTCATGAGACATGAGTCCCAAAAAAAAAAAAAAAACAAAACAAAGAAAAGAAAACAGATACATCCACTAAACACCAATTGAGCTAGTCTCGATTTGCTCATCTCTGAAAATAATATATATTTTTTTTAATCAAAAGTGGCTCACCTGGGTTGGATCTAACCGTGGTTTTGACATGATAACCATGATCAAGGAGCCTCATAATCAGCCAAGATCCTATGTAACCGGTACCACCAGTTACACATACTGTGCCTTTCCCTCCTTCCATCTCTATAATCAGCTTTTTAATGAATGAGAGTTTCAATAACGAATGAATATGTTTTAATGAGGATGAACGCTAGCTATTGAGGATCGAATGGAATTAAAACAAATAACAAAACTATGAAAGCTCTGATGGAAATATATATGGCCATACATTTTGCTAAGACTTGTGAAGAATTATATCTATATATATATATATATATAGTACACTTCTTTAAAGATAAGGGTTCAAGAAGGCTCGTATTTATTATTTTTCCAGCCATCTTGGTCAATCGTCAATGGGAGTCGGTCAGAAGTAGCTTTCTTTGAAGATATATACGTGGACTACAAATAGTGGCGGAGCTAGGATTATATTTCAAGCGAGGTATATAGATTAAAAATGTGAAAAATTTATCAATGCTAATAATATCAACTACTAATACTATTAGTTAGTTAGAGCACATTTTAAACACATGCATATTATGCCTTATAAAGTCTTAGCACTATAATAGTTGCACATACTTTTACGCTTAACTATGCATAACATGCTTTAATTATGCGCTTAATAGAGAAAAGATGTTTAAGAGAAAATAATAATTGAGAGTGTTACTTAAAAAAAATGGCTTAGGGACATTTGAGAAAGATCATTTAAAATTTTATCGTGAGGCTCACTTTTAATATAATAAAGATCACATAAAATAATATTTTAGAATAGACAAATTTAGAAAAAAAGTTTTAACTCGAGTAAATTAGAGAAAAATAATTCATTTAGGTATACTAAGAAGTATGGAATTTAATAAGAAAGAATCAAAAAACAATTAAAAAAACTAACTAGTTTAAAAAAAATATTTAGATTGGATTTAATGGAGATATTTTGAAATTTTTATCAATGTATATTGAAAAAGGTCCATATAGATTTAGAGATTAATGTGATCCACAGAAATATTTATCCGTTGTGATCATGAGAAAGGTTTTAAGTGTTATTGTCACATTTCTAGAACAAGTAGAGAGAATTGGTTACGAAAAATGAAACTTAAAAGAGGCTAATTAAGTATTAAAGTTAACTCTTCAACGAAAAAAATAAATAAATAAATAAACACTAGGTCAAGTCAAACGACATCGGCTACTAGACGACAAACTATCTTTACTTTCTAATTCGCAATAGAAAATAACACTATAGTTTGCCGTTTCCATAACAAATACGCATCTAAAGTTAAAGAAGTATTTTTTTTCCTGATCAAGATTCAAGAACCCTTCGTTTCAAATTAAAACGACACTTTATCCTATTCTTTTCACGGATTCAAGTGAAAAATTAAACTAAAATTCAAATATTTCATGAGAAAAAACACTATAACAAAAAAGTTAAATTTGTTTATGTGAAAAATCACTAATCATACGTTAGATGTTTTACTTCGTATTTTGTACTTTTATTTGGTTTCTTTAATTTATGCTATATAGCTACTTATAGTAAGATTTACCAAATGTTGTTTATTACTATCATTTTTTTTTAATTTGCATTAGGGTTTTCGAAAAGAAAGATATGTGCACTAGCCACAACATCGACGTGTACCATAGGTGGCTTCAAAAGATAGGTATAATCGCCTGATTAAATTTTACAACAACATAATACATAAGCTAAAAACAAATAAACTCATCCAGTTACGTTTTACTTAGTAATATTTATATTAATCAAATATAAGTATGATACAAATTATTCTTTTACGGCCAATTCTCGTATATAAAAGCTTAAATAGATAGGACGACAGTGTTTTTAATTATATTATATACTAATAGCGTAATTAGCCCTTATTATTGTAATGACTGAGAAAATTCCAGACTTTAAATAATACAATTTATT